CAGGGGCAGGGAGTGGGAGTGGGGGTGGTAGTGGGATTCCCAGGAGTGGGGGCCAAGGAGAAGGGGCTGGGGGCTGGACAGGAAGCAGGGGCCAGGGATGGTGGTCACAGGGCCAAGAGCATGGCAGGATGGGTAGCAACCTGGGGTCCCAAAGGGGCAGTCAGAGACCTTGGCATAGAGGGGTTCAGTATGACTTGGGGATCCTAGGGGGCAGTGCAGGTGTGTGTTCAGGGGGGCTGGATAGAGGGTGGGGCCCCAGGGAGACAGAGGGAGGGACCAAGCCACACCTGGCTCTTTGGGGAGGGGAACAGCCTCCTCACCTTGCCTCCCCAACCCAGCTCTCCGTACTGGGGGAGGAGTAGGAGGTGGGATGGAGAAGGAGGCAGTGAGAGGGATGGGACAGGATGTAGAATGGGGAGGGATGCAGTGAGGGGATGGAGTAAAAGGTGAGTTAGGGAGGGATGCAGTAGGTAGGATGGGGCAGGAGGTGGGAATGGGAGGGGGTGGGGTGCTGTGAGAGAGGTGGGATGTAGTGGGGGTGGGAAGGGGATGAGCCTTCTGAACACTCACATTTGCTATTTCAGGGACTGGCAAACTTTTAGTCCTAAGAGCTACACTGGGACCAGAAATTGTGTGTGAGGGCGGGTAGGGAAGGCTGGGAGAGGCTCTGCCTCCTCTCCCCAAGCCAGACATGGCCTGGTCCATCCCCCATCCCTCTCCTTGCACTCCAGGTCCCCCCATCCACACCCAATCTGCTCCCCACACCTGAACAGCTCCCCTGCCCTTGGCCCCATGACTTCACCACGCAGAGCAGCAAGGTTGGCTGTGGTAGGGAAACTGAGTGTGGGGAGGGGGGCAGGAGGGGAGGGTCCGGGGGTGCCTCCCTGGAGAGCCTGGTCAGTGGTCAGGCCTGCTCCCCGCACTGCTCAGGACTGGTTCCTGCCCTGCCCTGGCCCATCTAATGGGGCCACACCTGCGGGCAGGGGATGGGGACCACATGCTCCCCCACCCCCAGCTGCCCCAATGTTAAGAGAGAGCTGAACATGCCGGCTCAGGGGCTTCCCCAGGGGTTGCACAGGGGCTGGCAGGGAGCCTGTAGAGCCATAAACCAGACGTTCAACAGCCTGGCGCCTCCAGGAGCCTGTTGGGCCAAGGGGTTTGAGTCCTAAACCAGACATCTGCCTCCCTCCCCATCCCATCATAGCACCCTCCACACCCACAGAACTTCTACCCCCCCAGCTAGGGAGACCCTGCCTCAGTTCCCCCACCTGGCACAGACAGGAGGGGATGAGGATCCCCCATCCCAGGCGCTACGCTGGGAGCTGAAGCTCTGTGGTGGGTCCCACCCCCTCCTCTGCCCACTCCAGGTATGTAAGGCCCCAGCCTGGCTCCTTGGCCCAGGGGGCAGCGAGGGGCCTGGGCTGCCTGGCCCCAGAAGAGGGGTTCCTAGACCAAGCTGAGCACCTGCCTGCAGCATGGAATTAGAAACCAAGCTCCATGAGAGTGGGGGTTAGGCCACATGCTCTGTGGGGGTCTCCCATACGCTGGCTCTGGTGGCTCCCTGCTCACACGCTGGTGTGTGTGGGTCCCATTCTGAGGGGGCGTCTCTCCCCTTTCTCTGCCCAGGGAGCCCATGGGCAGGTGGGTCCCGGCACATGTCCTGTGACTGTGCAGGCGCTGGTCAGTGAGGTGCCTGGCGATCGGTCTCAGCACCTCAGGGCTGGTGAATGTGGCCACTGGGCCTTTCCTCTCAGCTGCGCATGGGTGGTTATTCCCTTCTGCAGCCTCTGGGGAGCCCGGCACCGGTGCAACTCTGGCTCCCTGTGATGGTCAGTGTGCTGTGTGCATCGCATGGCCACTCTCCACAGACATGCAGGGCCTGTGTGATGCTGTTCCCCCTCCTTTCCCCTGTGCCACCTCATGCTCACGCCCCAGACTTCCCTGGGCACTGGCATAAGCCGGGCCGGCAGCCAGCTGGCTCCCCTGGGCATCCATGCGGTTAAAACAGATATTGGACCGGCAGAAACGGGGGCTGGACTCTGGGAAATGCTGGGTGGTGGCTGCAGGTGCTGATCCCCTGGGACTGGCTGTGCCTGTGGTGCTGGGCGAGAGTTCGGTGTTTCTCAGGGGCTGGACAAGGGTTTGTTGTGATACCGGGACCAGCCCAAAGCCAGGAAAGGACTAGAGCTCTCTCTCTCTCTCTGTATGTGTGTGGGTTTGGGAGCGGGGGATCTCCTGCCTGGCACAAACGGAGCAAAAGACTCTATTGGTTGCTCCCCTCTTCAACCTGCCCTTGAAGAGGAGCCGGCCACAAACCCTCTTATCAGTGTGAACTCTGGGGGAGGGAAGGACAAGCCAGGGCAGAAAGAACTTTCTCTCTCCCAGGCTTAGATGCTGGCGGTGGGGCAGGGAGTGAGGGGGATGGTGGTGGAGGGAGGGTTAGGTACAAACTGAGGAATCTGCAGCTGGTGGGCTGGTGCTACAGGACACACTGAGCTGGTTCACCAGAGGCGCCTCTATTCCCTTGGGCCAGGCAGGAGCGCACCATGTGCATGAGTGTGTGTATCTGGCTGGTGTGTTCGCTCTGTGAGTAACTCTCATTCCCTTCTCTTGGCCAGTAAATCGTTCATGACTGTGCTATAGGACTGGCTGCAGGCGCTGGGTTTGCTTTCAACCCAGAGGTGCCAGTGACTTGGGGCAAACACTCCTTTGGGACAGGCAGAAACCAGAGTGTTGTGGGGCTTGGGGAGCAGGGTGCCTGTCACTCAGGCTGTCCTCCTGGGGTAGGGAGGGATGGGGAGGGTTCCCTATAATTGGTTCCATCGGTGTGGAATAAATGTCATTCTGTGCACAGATGCAAGTGCAGATATGCACCATCTGTAGAAACACAGGCTGCCAGCTGTGGGGGCTCTGCTAATCAATTGGGCAGCACCTGAATCTCTCCTGAGTGGCTGCCCAAGTGCTCAGCTTACAGGGAACACTATGTCCCCACCCCCACCCAGGGCAGGTGGAGAGTCTGAGGCTCCCCACAACTGCCTCTGTGGTTCTTACCCCATTCACGTCACAGTAAGAGCTGTCTGGGCAGTGGGGGGGATCCATGGACCCTCCATCTGCCCTGGGCAGAGGCTGCTACAGCCGGCCCAACAGCCAAGGGCAGTTTTCGAGCCCCCCCCCCCACCAGGGGATGGTCCTGTGATGGCCCCAGCTGCATTGGCACCCCAAGGCTTCTCCTATCTGTGCAGGGCTCCAGCTTCTGGCCAGGGTGGGATGCAGAGCCCAGGGGGAACGGGGAGGGGCAGGAGAGTCTGGGGAGAAAGAGTCCAGGCCAGACTTTTCCACATTCAACAGTGGGAGAGGCCTTTGGCCTCCTGTTCTGGAGCCCCCGAGGGGGATTGGCAAAGGCAGAGGTCACTCATTGTGACAGGCGTATCCCGTATCCATGGGAACACTGCACCCCTGCCCTAGGGGCTGGTGACAGGTGGGGGTGGGGGCAGCAGCACATGAGGCTGAGAATGGGAATGTCCCAGCCACCAGGACCACCCAGCCCTGGAGGAAAAGCTGGAGAGAGGTAGGAGGGGGGGCTGACAGATTCCCCCCCCCCCCCCCCCCCCCCCCGCCCCCGCGCCCCCGAGGGGGGGGGGGGG